TGGAAGTTGGCGAGTGAAATGAAATACCGTGTACCCAAGTATTTTACATGTTTTAGGTTCTCAGCATACATTAACTGCGATGAACATCAGTTCCTGTGCACAAACCCAGCTTTGGGCGACTTGATGCTTTTTCGCAAGAATAAACAATTTCCTTTAGAATGATTCCTCCTTCTTTTATAGGGTTATAAAATTAAAATGAGAAAATATAATTATTCAAAGAAGCTTCAAAAGCTAGATCACAGAGATTTGAGAAATCTATAATTGATCTATTATGCAAAGATTATACACCAGAGTTTCCTATTCTTTTTTTCCTTTTGAGGAGTCTGTATGGAGCATACTCATAAACTGGAGTTATTTATTTATTTTTGGTGTAAGAATCGGCGAGGTCCGTGAGAAGCTCTCCATATCATATTTCAGAGTCAGATGCAGGCCTAAATTTTGGACTACTCATCAGTTCCCATTATTGATGCCAAGGACAGCCATGGCCTAGTAATTAAGATATAAGTTTAAAGACGTTGGGAATTGAGGTTTAACTATGACTTCTACTGGACTTAAAGAAAATAATTTCTCTAGAGAGCAGGTGATCAGAAGCCAGGGTCCACAGTGGGCTCAAGGAGCCAAGGTCTCCCTGGAATTCTATCACTTTGGGGTACACTTTGGGGTACGTTGTATATTTGTCTAAGAGGACAATGCATTTAAATTCTCAAATGGGTCTTCGAGTCCTAAAAATGATGAATCAAGGTGGTGTGGTGGTTAAGATGTTGGATTTCTGCATGGCCTGCTATGGCTGGAGTTCTGGACCTGGAGGCTTGAAAATCATGCTGGTCAGAGTACTGCAGGTGGCATGGTAGCTAAGGCACTGGACTCCTAGATGGCCAATCGTGGTTTGAGTCCTGGACCCAGTGACTTGAAAATCATGCCAAGTGCATGTGCATGCATGTCCAAAATAATGGAGGAGAAGAGATTGCCATATGGCCATCGCTTCTTGGGGGTGATTTCACACTTGTTCTCTCTTTGTCTCTCTGGTGAGTACCCTTGTCCTATAACCAAAAATCTCTCTCTAAAAATATTAAAAGAAAAAAGAAAATCATGCTGG